AGACAGGATTAGCAAACAAACCAAATCATAGAATATTTATTATTTTGGTCACAGAAGCTAGAGAGTCCTCAATTAATAAATCTTTCAAACTTATTTATTGTCCCACATACTTTAAATTGTTTATCATTGGTTATTTAGACTTTTAATACTATTACAGATTGAGAAGTAAAAGAAGGAATGTCTTTCTACTATAGAATGTTGCACTTTTACTTAGTAGAAAAAAATGATTCTTTTATTTCTTTGGCTCTTCTAGAAGAAAATGTTCCAATGAATGATTGATGCTTTTCAAATGAAGCCTTGTATTTTTATGATGCTAGAATATCTTTCGTCATCTAAATGAATATTAGGCCACCGAAAATATTCACTATTTTTGTATAATAAACATTTTGCATATAAGGAAAGTCAGTCAATTTGATGATTCGAAGGTGAAGGTCAGACCAGACCCTGCAGAACCACAGATAATTGCAGATGATAGAGCCAATCACAATATGCAAATCAGCAACTCTTATTTTTAATTGTTTTTAGAGAGATTTTTGCCATAGGGCACATCTCTTCCATTCTCCTCTCAGGATTTTGGGCACACACACACGTGCCTGGGATGAGTTTGAATACGCAGGATCTGGGACTCATACCGCGTTTGGCCAGGTGGGAGTCCAGTGACATAACTATTAGGCCATCTGCTGGTCCCATGAATCAGCAACTCTTAAAAATCCTATGAAGCGTTTCCCATGGTTTTGTTCAGGTAAATAGAGTGCTGGGACTGGGAATCGAGGGCTGGCTTGGCAGTGCCGTGGTATATACATGCCCGGCTCGAAACGATGTAGCACGTTGATCTAACACGTCCAAGCCGTGCAGGATCCCCAGGGAAGACGGTAGGTTTGGGCCTCTAGTCTATCTGTGCATTCCAGGTGTGGGGATCTCGACTGCGGAGGAGGGACAGTGACCCAGCAGGAGGCCCTGTTGAAGGTGCTTGTCTCTCTCTCTCTGCCTCTGTCGCTCACTCTCAGGGAAGAAATAACTACACTTACGATTATGACAAAAAATGAGACACTTAATTATGTAATTCAGGATGATAAGTTCAATATTATATTTTCACACTTTTTAAAAAGAATCGGGACAGATATAGTCATTTCTGATTTTGTAACTTTTGTGTCTATTTTATATAAACTAAAATATACAATGCGTGATTTTCGTGACCGAGGGACAAAGCAAAAACACAGCATTCCTTAATATTGCATATTCTGGATCTGAAGTTTCTTCTTCTAAAAGGCATACTTGGCTCAAAAAATACCCTCCGTGTTATGGATTTATACTTTAAAAAATTTGTTCTGAAGATTCTACAGCAGGACCTTGTTATTCCAAGGATAATGAGAACCAGATAAAACCCACGTAAAGTGAATCCACTTAAATGAGGAACAAAATTTCACAATACAATGCAAAAAAGCTTAGGACTTTAATCTTGAAAAACAAAATTGAAAATTAGGAAAATTCATTTATTTTATAAGCATAAGAGATCCTTGTGACCATGGTTAGTTCTTAGAATGAGCTATGTAGGGCCAGCAGATGGCGTAGCAGTTATGTTGCTGGACTCCCACATGACTAATAGCCGTTCAAATCCCAGACCCGGTGACTTGACACACACCAGGCACCTGTGCATCCATGCCCAAGATCCCAGGAGATAATGGAGGAGAAGGGATTGTGGAATGGCCATCTCCTGGGGGGTGATTTTTCACTTTCCCTCTCACTGTCTCTCTCTCTCTCTCTCCCTGGTGAGCACATACTCCCTAAGACAAGAACTTCTCAAAAAAAATTTTTTTAAATAATGAGTGATGCAGAAATTATGAACTGATTGCTTTGAGAGGAGTAAATTTTTGGTCAAATAAATGATTTTGCATTGCGGTACCTTTTATACCGAAGTTCACATTTCAACCATAAAAATGAAGAGTGTTATAAAAGTACGCAAAGCCTTAGTCGTTTTTTCTTTGGAGTCTGTTAGATTATTTAATATTAAAATAATTCTTGAGTCCCTAGCTTGCCACCCACTTAAAATTTTTCTTTCAAATGATCGTTTCCTAATCCAACTACTCGATCCCTACTTGCCCTTGTCTCACTGGCTGTCAGGGCAGTCCTGCAATATCATTTTGATGAACCTCATGGCGTTCTGTGTGTCAGGGCAGGACTGACCATTTCATTTTGAGTAGACTGCATCATCTTGTGGGTGTTCAAGGCAGCCACGACATGCAGGACCAGGCGCAGTTGCTGATGCTGAAAAGGATGGAATTTTGAGTGGGGACTCCAGTGCAGAAGGGTTGTTAGGAAGTATTTGAGTGTCTCGAAGGCATGCTTCCTTGAGCAAACTCCAGCTGTAGGGATTTGGGTAATGAATACCCAGGGAACATGGTGCCCCAGTTGAGCTGTGTGGATCCATCCCAGTATAAGCTGTAGAAAAGAGATTCACTCCATAGCAAAAATCTCTCTCAAAAACAAACAAACAAACAAAAAAAAAATGAAAGAAACGAAATTCACATCTAGAAGGATCTTTGGGCTCAGTTATGCCAACAAGTACTGTCTGTTCGTGGATAAATCACTTATTTATTTATTTTTTAAGCATATACTTTTTCTCTTTAGAATTATTTAATTTGCTTTATTACTACTATTATTATTTAATTTTCTATAGAGCACGTGTGCTCACCAGAGAGAGAGAGAGAGAAAGTGAGAAAGCAAGCCTCCAGGTTCAGGACTCAAACCACAGTTGGCTATGTGGGAGTCCAGCGCCTTAACCACCATACCTCTTGTTGGCCCACACTTAGTTCTTTGTCAAGTGAAAAGTTGGGCTGAAGTCCCTTCTCGCTGTAATGTTCTGTGATTCTAAATCATGTATCTATTTGAAGTCTGGCAAGAGCTCTATCATTCTGGTTTCATCGAATCCTAGAATTTTGCAGTCATTAACCAGCCCCTCTGGGTATTTGCACTCTACGTATGTATTATTGTAGGTATTATCATTTCAGTAGCTTCAGCCACTTGTAATTATGCCTTTGGCAAAGTTGTGATCCGTACTTTGGTATTATTTTAAATGGTGCTCTTTTTTTCCCCCCTCCTTTTTATGTATTTTTATTTATTTACATTTAATCACATGTCTTTACAGGGTACATTTCTTTTTCCAGCAAGAACACCAAGACAAAGATATCGCTGTATACATTATCATGAACACCATGCGTGTCAGTCAAGACAAAGATATCGCTGTATACATTATCATCAGCAAACAGCTTCTCATATCAAACATACTTTTACTTTTTTTCTTCTCCCTTCCCCACCCTTCCTTCCATACTGAACTTTTTCCCCCCACATTTTATTGATTGAGAAAAGATCTTAAACTAAAAATATGGACAAAGCTAAAGTCTAGTAACAAATGTAATTTTCTTCTGAAACTTCTTTTTCTCTCTCCATTCCCCGTTTTACTAAAGAGAGCTGTAAACTTACTTATTTGCCAAAAGTAGAAATTGTGCTCTTTTCACTAGTGCCCATCTCCCAAGTGTCTGCATGTATATCGCGACCTCAGTGTCTTCCCGTTTGATGGTTATCTTTGTAATGGCCCGTAGTCCACTGAATCAGTGCGTTGACATACTCTAACAGACCCCGCCCCGGGGCAGCTGAGCAGCTCCATACTTTAATATTTTGGATGTATTTTAGCCATGTTCCCATAGACGTCTTTGTAGGTGGACGACTTTTTTAGAAGAGTTTCTTACCCAGGGGGCACCATTCTGTGTGCATCTCAGTACTCAAATGCCTTCGTCACTGCTGTGAGCAGGAAGAAACTATCTCTGGGGAAGCACTCGGCTACATGAGTGTTTGGCTGCTGCCAAGCAGGGCACCTAGAAATCCTGGAGTGTGCAGCAGGACCTTGAATAACACGGAAGCAGAGGCTATGGCCAGAAACGTGCTGGGGTCCTAGATGGCTTCTTCAGATGCAGGGCTGTCCTGCCAGAGTACATGTGTGTATTTGATCACCTGGGAAGGTCGGTGACCTTTGGCTTCCGAAGTTGCACCGATCAAAGCAGCATCCTCATAAGAATCCTTTTTTACTTTTTTGTGTTTTTAGAGTTTTTGCTATAGGGCACGTGCGCTTGCCAGAAAGACAGAGACAGAAGGCAAGAAATCCCCCCCAGGGGGGATGGCCACACCACAACCCCTTCTCCATTCTCCTCTCGAGATCTTGGGCACGCATGCACATGTGCCTGGCATGAGTTTAAGCCACTGGGTCTGGGACTCAAACTGTGGTCTACTACGTGGGAGTCCAGCGACATAGCTATCATGCCAACTGCTGGTCCCACATCCTCCTAAAAATAAAACCGTCCTAGAGACAGTCTCTGAATTAGTTAGTGCTACGTTATAGACTATAGCCCTTTTCATTTTTGTTCCAGAGCTTGGACATTTTCAATGAGCTTTTGGAAGAAAAGTTTGTTCTACGATTGTAATTAGACTTGCTACCCCTTATCCAGTTACATGAAACCTAATTAACATTGCCCCCTCTTACTGGATAGTGCCTGCTTTGGTCTGTGGTACCATCGCTTCTCTGCATACGTGAGGGAACTATTTGCAATGCCAGTTTTACATGCTTGCCACAGCCCTGAGTGGTTATTGGGCAAGAAAGGGAACTCGTGCCTTGCTGAAATTGAGGGTAACTTGTTGCTCGCAGTAGTTAATGTAGTTACATTTCAGGTAAAGCTGGATGAAGTGGACCTATTCCCAGCAATTTCAGTTATCGTATGAATTACCAAGTAGAAAAAAAAAAAACTAGACAAGTGTAGAAATTGTGTGTGAGTTTGAAATTCCACCGTGCTAAGTCATAGGGGAGGGAGGGGTATGATTAAGTAGGAGGCAGGCCAATATTTTCAGAGGTTACCTTAAGTGCAAGCCAGTTCACTCCCTCTCACCTATGTATGCATTTCTCAGCTGTAAGTGTTGCATCCTCTGATTTTCATAACTTTTTTTTTTCCTTTCCAGATTCTAGCTACATTGGAGACTGATTGCTTTCTAAAATTAAGGAGAAGTCAAAGAAGGCATGGTGAATTTTCTTTGAGTTACAACTAACAAAATAAAAGGTAATTATGGGTGATTTTACAGTGTGTTTGCAGTACGCTGTGGCGGCTAGCTGCAAAAGCAGGGGACAGACAGACGTCCAGAATCTTGGATGTTTTCTCCTGCAAAACAGTAATGCCCAATGGGGATGGTGTCGGTAGTAGCATGTCAAAGTCGGTTTCTGGAAGCCACTTGGCGACTATGGTTTGAATCCCTGGCCTAGACTGAAATGTGTTGGAAAATGCTAGAAGCTGGGCTCTGTCAAGGTGAAGGACTGGCAGAAATGTGGAGGAAAAGAAAAGGATTGCAGAGTGGCTGGACTCTGTGAAAGGTGGAAAGCCTCCCTCT